AATAAGAGAAAACTACCAGGGACTTTACTTGTATTATTTAAATAAAAATGCGCAATACATTTCAACTTACTTTATTAAATTGTTTAAATTTTATTTCTCTTTGCAAGAGGCTGAATTCAAATTAATGAGTTTTTCTAAGACATTTAAACTGCAAGCACTATGTTAAATGAAACTAAGATATGGTTTGGTTCTAGGAGCAGTGTCTCTAAATTATTACTGTACATCTTGGTTAAAATTTATGCTGCAATGTCACATGAATGTAAAAATATATTGAATGTGCCTTTTCTTTCAGGGGATCTTGAAGGAAAAGTGAAGTGGCTTGACAATTTTCAAAAATTTAGACATCTTCAGGAGATTATAGTGTGGCCTCCACTTTGGGATAGAGATAAAAGGTTTTTCATTCCAGAGGTACAAAGAGGATCCATTAAGACTTATGTTTGGCATTCTGTTGGAAATACACTAGTCTTTACAAAGTCCCCAGCTGTCCACTTGGATATTGAATCTAGTTTTACGACCAAGAACTACAGCTTTTTACCACGTGGCCTTGTATGTGGGGAGGCTGGCAACAGCACACCATTCCCGGGGTGGGCCTCCTGAGGGATGTGCTCATTCTTTCCCATTCCCGTGTCCATCTCCTGACGTTTCTAAATGTCTTGAACTTTATTGACAGAGTGCACTGCCCCAGCTCCCGGAACCTGTTCTCTTCCAACCGCTAACAACCTCTCTTTGATTGTCTCTCTTGTTTTCCAAGTGCCTGAAACACATTTTTAAAGAGCACATGGCAGAAAACATCCTGTCACCAACCAACAGACACCTTCTCTATGAGGGAAAATTAACTCTTGCAGGTAAATAGCTGTTTCCTTTAAAAACCCAACACCTTTGCTACCATGCAACGTGTCCAATTGTTGCCCATTGAAGAGTGTAAAGAGTTGTGTTGGCCTATGGCCAAGGCCATGGAAGATGTGAGTCAGAGAATATGCTATGGACTCACACATGTGTCAGCTTGATCAAAGACTTCACAGCATAACTAGCTATGTGCCCTTCATTTTCTATCTCTAAAATGGGATAACTATTTCATAAGGTTGTTGTTAAATTGAAACACATGAAGAGCTTAACTCAAGGTTGGGAACAACATAAACACTCCATATCAGCTGTTATCACCCTTATATTCCTCCAATTAGCTGGGCAATCATCCCATCGGTGTTGATGGAGAACCTGTTATGTAACACGTGTTGTGCTGGGTAGGCATCACTGGAGGATATAAGGTCATTATTCCATTTAATCCTTTTCCTCTAGTTGGGAAGCTCTGCTGTAACGAGCAGACGTACAGGTAAGTTCAGAAAAGAAGAGAGGCTGTGGGGCTGGGGTACCTGGGAGGGGCTTTATGTGCTCCATGGGAGTAGAGGTGGGCTTGTGGGGGACGGAAAGATGGAGGTCAGTGGAAGGACAGGAGGGAGGACCTCCCAGATGAGGGGCATGGCAGGAGAAAGGGCCTGGAAGCGAGGCCACCTGGGAGAATAGGCGCTGGTGGAGTGATTAGGAGAGGGAGCCCTGCAGGCTGACTGCCAGGTCACTTCCCAGGTCAGCCTTTTCTGCCTGTGTAACCTTGGCCCGAATACAGCCATCTCCCCCTTTGTTGTAAATGAGCTAATGGATGCACAACCACTAAAAATGGTAGACACAGAATCAGTGCTCAGTAAATATTCTCAGCAGAAAGGGCTCCCTGACCAAAGTAGGGTTTTGTATGCATTCATCTATTTGTTTCTGCACAAAATCTTGATTGAGCACCTACTGTGTGAGAAGCCCTGTGTGGGATGTGAGGATGCCTATTTATGGAAGCCTGAGATCTGGTGGGGAGTGCCAGGCCATAACTCTGTATTCGATACACATTTGTTGAGAATCTGCTATATTTTAGCTTTACATGTCAGGTTGGAACAGAACCCCTACCCAGCCAGCTAGGGATGGTAGACATGCCCGGCATTTTACCTCAAAGGACTTTTGCACTCATTTTCTCCTTCCAGTGGTTATGCAGAGGAGTTATACTTAATCCCAAATTATAGGTGAGAAGTATGAGGCTCAGGGAGGTTCTGTATCATGTTCAAAGCCACCTGGAGGTTAACAGCAGAGTCCAGGCTGCCTCAGCCCAGTGGGCTTCCAGAATCGCAGCACCTGGCTTGGGAGCCGAACACAAGGAAATTGCCAGTGACGAGGGACAGGCTTAAAAAGGTGCTGAAGAGTCATCAGAAGCAATGCACAAAATGGTGTAGAGAAGGAGACCAAAGCAGGGAGCTCCGCCGTGAAGCAGGGTGAGGCGAGATGACCCGGAGCCTGTGTTTCTCAACCATTGTTAAACTCTACCAGGGGTGGGGAGCGTCTGGCCTTTGGGCCACATAAGGCCTGCAAATCATTTGGTCTGGCCCTGCCCAGGCATTAGGGGGGGGTGAGTTAATTAAATGTTTGACCAAATATAGCAGGCTAATTTTTAAGTTGCTAATTTTATATGGCCACAAATAATTATAAATATCCAAATGGTCCTTTGCAGAAAATGAGGTTCCCCACCCCCGCTAGACCATCACCCTCCCACTTTCATTTGGAAAGATAACAATTTTACATTTTCTTTGATGTTTTTTTATAATTTTAAAATTTATATATTGTGACAAAATCAAATCAAAATAATGAAGCAAAATACAGCTCTGTGTTCAAATATATGCCTCTCCCTCCAAAATTGGCCTCCACCTGGAATTACCAGAAGTTTTAATTCACCCCTTCCCTCTACCTACCAACTTCCCAACACTGTGAGATGTGCTGGCATGTTCGAAATGGGCTTGGATAGAAAAGGATAAATGTGAGAGATATTTCAAAGGCAAAAATAGGAGAACTTTATGATTGGCAAAATGGCTGAAGAGGCAGTGAGTCAATGCTTTCAAGTGTCGTGCCTGAAAGCTAGGTTGACCACACCGAGGGAGGCAGAAGGAGTGAGTCCGGGAGGCAGTGCTAGGGTTCAGGTGTGGGCAGGTTGAGAAGCCACACGGAAGTTGGATGAACATGACAATGACCAACTCTGGTGAAAAGCTGTGTTAGATGCGCATCCGCATGTAGCTTTGGGGTGCTCGTCAAGGAAGTGCGGGTGGGAGACTGGCCTAAGAAGGAGTCTTTACAAAAAGACCCAACTTTTCAGAAAAAGTTTCTTGTAGAGTCAAATGTGGTAAATGAAGATGAGCCTCATCAACATCACTAACTCCAGACACTTGCTTAAAGCCATATGCTGGGTGGCTCGGATGGCATCAGAGAGGGGGCCACATCAAGTTTAAAGTCACGGGAACTTTGACCCAGAGTTGGCGTGGCGATGTGGTGGGGGCGGGGGTGCTAATGTTTAAAGAAATGGGACCTCATTTTGAATGGATAAAGCATTAGACCAAGAATGATATCTAACACATAAATTTTGTTTCCAAATTTATTTCAGCTTTAAAAACGGTTCTAGTCTAACCAAATAAGTGTGTTTTCTCATTCCCAGAAAGTACAAGTTTTTATAACTTAAAGCATAACCAACTTCCCATGGGAAGTCATGCCAGAATACCCTTGGCAACTGTGTTGCTCCACACAGACTGGCATTTCTAAATAGAAAAGTGAGTAAGGTGCCGACACATAGACTGGCCTGACAGCTGTGACACTCAGAGAACATGTGCTGTTCAAGCTGCTGCAGCTCAGAATAAGGCAGCAACGCAGCTCCGGTCTGGAACAGCGCGGAGAGAACCCCCGTCCAGACTCTGTGGGAAAAAATAAAGACGATTCAGATCCGGTTGTGCAGCACTTGGCTAAACAGAATTTCAAACTCACAGTGCTCAGTAGTTACGTCTCATGAAATCACTTGGTCAAGGCGTTTCACTGGCTGTACTAGCTTCAAACTGCTTGGCGATAAATGTGAACAGCCTGATTGTATGCTTACAATGGTCCTCCTTAATCATCCTCTTTTGCCTGACTATGTCTACCTTTAGCACTATCGGTTTCTTGATAGTGCTAAAATGAAATGAAATGAAATGAAATGAAGTTACGTCTCATGAAATCACTTGGTCAAGGCGTTTCACTGGCTGTACTAGCTTCAAACTGCTTGGCGATAAATGTGAACAGCCTGATTGTATGCTTACAATGGTCCTCCTTAATCATCCTCTTTTGCCTGACTATGTCTACTTTTAGCACTATCGGTTTCTGAATTTATCTTATTTTAAATCTTGTTTATTGTTTGTTATGTGTCTGCTTCCCGTAGGATTAAAGCTCCTTGAAGGCAGAGTCTTCTTAGTCATTGATGCAGGGTAGGGTGTCTGCATCAGTTGACTACTTGGTGGGACATGAGGGATTCAATAAATAGCTAAAATAATCATCAGTTCCTAGAATATATTGCAGGACATAACAGATGCTCGCGGCTAGTTTGTTAAAATAAAATACTTAAAGTTAGCAAGAAAAAGAAACTATTTCATTTTGACAATAATCATCAACCGAATCTATAGATGAATGACACAGAATGGGGAAAACAGCATTTAACAGGTCCGAAGGTCTAATGTTATCTAATGCCTCATTCCTGGTGCCATGTCCGTATTGGTTAAGATGTGGGTTCAGCCATTGGAGACAGAGAGAGATAAGGATCACTTAAAAAGGCAAGTTTGCTTCTCTGGCATGTAAAACTCGGAGCTGTGTGACAGCTCTCCTCCGTGGTGTGACTAGGGAGCCAGGCTTCTTCTGCCTTGCTGCTCTGCCCTCCCGGGGTACTGCTTCCTTCCATGTGGTCCCAGCGGAGTCGCAGGGTGGCTAGCCGGTGGGAAGGGGGAAAGGGCAGGAGAGCAAAGCCCTGCTGTTTAAGGGAATGACTCACAAGTTGCACACTTTTGCTCATATTCCATTGGTCGGAATTTACTCATTTGGTCATATTTAGCTGCAAGGGAAGCTGGGAGATGTAGTATTTATTTGCAGGGAATATGTACCCACTAACACTCAGAAATTTCATTACTAAAAAGAAAGGGAAATGTTTTTTTGAGGGACAATCAGCAGTTTTTGCTGTAGGCTGATTTGAAAAATATAGTCTCTAGTAGTGATGGAATACAATGTTTTAAAAATATTCAAGGCCCTGACTGGTTTGGTTCAGTGGATAGAGGGTTGGCCTGCGGACTCAAGGGTTCCAGGTTCGATTCCAGTCAAAGGCATGTACCTAGGTTGCGGGCACATCCCCAGAGGGGGGTGTGCAGGAGGCAGCTGCTCGGTGTTTCTCTCTCATCATTGTTTCTAGCTCTCTATCCCTCTCCCTTCCTCTCTGTAAAAAATCAATAAAATATATTTTTAAAAAGTTATAAAATATTCAAGGACAATTCAAGATTGAATGAAAGGTCTAATTTCTTTTCTGTGCAAATATGGAAAGAATTTTTCTTTCCTTCAAACTTAAAGAAGTGGAGGAAATAGAAATGAAACCTAAGTATTTTATCTACTAATTTAATCTTAGCCCCCTAGTTTTCAGGGATAAAACTCTATGAAAAAGAACTTCTACAATAATATAAATGAACAAAATAAACAGAATAATGAAAAATATTTACTGATTTTAAAAATATTTACTTTAAGTATCTGTCACATCCCCTCTGGACAGACTGTGTTTTCCTGGGAAATCACTTAAAGTTAACTATTTCTTCTGCTAACTCCTATGTGGTAAAGTTAGAGAAGGCGATACCCTATTCTAAGATTTGATTTCTCTTCTACCACTGGCCCCTTCCTAGAGAAAAGTAGGAAAGCCTACTTGCCTTAAGTTACTATCGAAAGTTATACCACGAACGTTTGTAAATATAAAGCTATGTGAAGAAATTTGAACATGTAAATCTTGCAAAAAAGTAAGATGATTGCCTAAGTCAGCTTCGGCCACCATAACAAAATACCGTACCCTGGGTGGTTTAAGCAACAGAAATTTATTGCTCACAGTTCTGGAGCCTGAAAGTCCAAGGGCAAGTTGCCAGCCTCATTCGCTCTCTGGTGAGGCTCTGCCAGCTTGCCGGTGGCCTCCGCTCAGAGTCCACCCATGGCTCTCTCTCTCTCTCTCTCTCTCTCTCTCTCTCTCTCTCTCTCCTCTCCTCTCCTTATGACACTAATCCATCTAGATTAGGGCTCCACCCTCAAGCCCTCATTTATTCTTAATTACTTCCTTATTCCCCAAACAGCCACACTGGGGAGTTAGGACTTCAACGTATGAATTGGGGAAGGGGGCACAATTTAGTCCACAGCAATGACAAATGCCCTTTCTGGGGGTAATGCATACCAATGACCACCCAGATGAGTCAAGAGGCAAAAATGCTGTAAGTTTAATGAACTGATAGATGTGTCTTAGGCTTCACTGAAGCCATTACAATCATCATCCAAGTTATCTTAGATCCATGTGAAACACATCACAAATACAATGTCTTTAAAGCTGTGAGCTTGAGCTCAGGCCACGTCTCTGCTTTAAGGAAGAAACCGATTCAGTACCCTTGCAGGTTTCTGACCCACAAGATCTGATGCCCTGAACTGCTGGCCTGCTGTGCCAGGAAGCCCTGCTGGATTTGTTTCCTGAGGAATCCTTTGATTTAAATAACAGAAATCCTTTTACTTACAATTTCCAACCCCAGTTTCACTTTCTTTCTCTCCCCAGAAAGTACCAGATTCCTAGATGTTTATCTGTTTCTCTTTGATGATTTCCTCTTAGTTACGAAAACTAAGCGCAACAAAAAGGTAAATTCTGCTATTTCTTAATAAGTCTGCTAAATATGCTCAGAAATACTTCCAAATAAGTTGTGTTAAAAATACATAATATTTTCAGACATCAAATTGGGATTCACCCTCTAAAAATGGAAACATTACACAATATTGGCGTTTTCAGACAGATAATTCTGAACTAAACATACCAATAACAAAAGCAAGCTACACTTCTTAAGGATGTCAAAGGATGTGCACATTTTTAGCATAACTCAGTCTATATACTTTTAGGGCAGCAATGGCTAACCTTTTGAGCTCAGCGTGTCAGCATTTTGAAAAACCCTAACTTAACTCTGGTGCCGTGTCACATATAGAAATTTTTTGATATTTGCAACCATAGTAAAACAAAGATTTATATTTTTGATATTTATTTTATATATTTAAATGCCATTTAACAAAGAAAAATCAACCAAAAAAAATGAGTTCGCGTGTCACTTCTGACACACGTGTCATAGGTTCGCTATCACTGTTTTAGGGTAAGTCCCAGAGGCCACAGGACTATTCCTGGCCTGCCTGATCAAATGCAACCCAAATGCTTTTGTCCGTACTGGCCCTTTCCTCACCCAAATTGTCCCCAGTGAACGCTGCCAGGGGAGAGGCGACGGGTGCTCTCTAAACTGTCTGCTGCCATGTGCCGAGGTGGTATCCATCACCCCTTCTGATTCGAAAGCTCAAATCCTCCCTGGAAAATAGTGATTTGGGGGCTGCAAGTGGGAGGGAGACCTGCTCTCTCAGTATCTTCCTGTATATAAAACAGACATCTGCAGAAGCCAGACAAATGTATAGCTGGCGTCACAGACAAAATGAGCCAACTCAGGGTTAAAGCCATGAAATCTCTTCCAAGAACAGGGATTTCCCCCATTACTTAAGTATTATAGCCCCTATTATTGTTGTTACTAATTAAGCCATGAGTATCATGGTCTACTAAAGGCTTTCTATCTAATCTTCCATTTCCCAGTCTGTCCCCTGAATGGCATGAGTGATATTATGAAGGGGACTTCCTCTGAGGCACTCAGACACTGGCCCTTAGTTGTCAGCCATCAGAGATACCTAATTCACCCACTTCGAACCATAACCTCTTGGTTCATGAGTTTATGCTTAACCACTGAGCCACACTGGCTGGGCTCACCCACTTTTTTTACCGGAGGTCTAGCCTTACACACATATAAGATCATGAGACTAGATATCTCAAATCTTTTAAGAACCTACGCTTCTAGATGATATGTTGGTTAGTTAAGCTCAATAATTTAAGGATCTTTAAATACTAAAATAGACACCCATTGATCAATCTGTAAATAGTTGAATGGTCATTGAGAATGGAATGGATATTTGAGAATATTAAGAATCACAGTTTTGAAACTTAGGTGGCCTTCTCTTGTAAGCTTCCCAGACGGCCATGTCTGAACCAGTCAAGCTCTGAAAAATCTCTATGGCCTTCAAAAACCTTGACACTAAGCACAGCCTACCTTCATATCAAATAACGACTCAAATCTGAGTACATGAACTCATGGCAGCCTATATTGATTTACTATAAGGTAATATTCTGATTTCATGTTTCATAACTTGATCCCCAAATAAGGAATGTTATGTGCCTTAAATTCCTCTGTTTAATAAATCTGGAGCGTTTTATTGACTTCATAGGTGCAAAGATAATCAACTAGAGAAGACACTGGGTTTCACTTAGAAAAAAAAGGGAAAGAAAGAAATGTTGTGTTTTAAATCTCTCTTTGCAATTAAATGAACAAAATATGTCATGCAAATCACAATCTTTGACACCCTTTAAAAAAATTCAACACCTTATATATTCAAAATAATTTCAATTATCTACAAATTATAGAGCATGGACTCCACTTAGAGTTAGTATTAGATCCCATGGACAGAGTTGACCAAAATGAGGCTCCCCTTTCTCATCCACCTCACTCAATACTAGAGAGAGACACTGGAAATGAAGCACTTTCCCATTGATGTGATGGTGATGAAAATGTTTCCCAATTGGAGATGTCACATATAACCTACTCGGGAAGTTAAATTTGGGTATCAGAAACACTATTCTGTAAATCACTATGTATTTTGGGGAAATGCTTTTCAAGATCCAGGAAGAGTAGTAAGCTGGATTTCAAGCAGTTGTTTCTTAACATCAGTTTAGGGATGTGCACCAATACTCATTTCCTCTTCACTGCATTATTTTCCCATTTAATTTCAGAAAGTTGGAGGCTTGGACACAGGTGTAATGTGTCCTTCACTTACTCCTGAGCTGCAAACAGTAATAAAAGAGGGTGGTTCGTGCAAGGTACTCGATCAGCCCATTCCACTGGATAGATTGGTAGTCAAAAGTATTGATCCACTCCACGTATCAGGTATGTGCCAATTTTCATGGTTAATCTGCTTACCATCATAGAGTTTTATATTGGCTTTTATTGGTAACAGCACATAAATCCAATTTAAGTCTTCATAAAAGAAAATACTGACTTCCTATGTGGCTATGTATCACTCACTCTACAAATTAGTTATGGAAAGAGTATTGGACTTGGTCTCCAATGCTTGCATTTCCCAGCTCTGCCACTGCTAGCTATGTGATCATAGGCAAGGAATTTAAATTTTCTATGCCACAGATTCATCTTGGCAAAACTGGGAAAATAATATCGATGTCAGTGGATTGTCATGAGAATTCCATGAAATAATGCATATAAAGCACTCAATGAATGATGGCTATTTTTAGTATTGTTATATTATTAGTAGAGGCGGGTGCATGAAATTCATGCGGGGTCAGGGGGGATGGTTCCCTCAGCCCAGCCTGCACTCTCTCCCCCAACTGCCCTTCCTGCCAGCCTAGTCACCCCACGCAGCCTGCTGTTCAGTCATTTGGTTGTCCCTCTAACCCCCCTGCTGGCCTGGTCGCCCCACACAACCTGCTATTCAGTCATTTGGTCGTCCCTCACTAACCCCACTGCCGACCTGGTCACCCTATGCAGCCTGCTGCTTGGTCATCCGTCCGGTTGTTTCAGTCATGATGGCCCCTGGCTTTTTATATATTAGGATTATTAGTACTCACTGGCACACCACAATACACTATGCAAGCCTAAGATATTCTACTACAATAACCATATAGAAAGAAATATGCCAGAAATAATATGTATACATATGCAGGTACACATATATACATACATGTCATGTGTATAGGTATATACTTTTCATTTTTCAAGCATTTCCTGAGTGTCTACTGAGAACCAGGCACTGTGTGAGTGCCCTAGAGTTATAAACAGCCCATTCTTGGGGCAGCTCTCAGAACAATGGGAGATCAGTAAACCCCATCAGGAAGGCCCTGACGCTCAAGGGACTCACAGGACATTCAGTCTCTTCAGTGCTGGGTGTTCAGGACGCCGGGGGGTCATTCTGCCTTGGGTGTAGGCTCCTAGGAGACCAGCAAAGCCAGGCAGGAGGGGACTGCCTTTCTGTTCCAAGGGAGGAGCAGGAAAAGAGGGAGCACTACCCATTCCGCTCAATTCCCACCCCAGCAGCCAAGCCCAAAGCATCAATGATGAGCATAGGAGGACCTATACATACCTAGCAACATTACATAGTGAAGGAATGACTGAACACACAAACTGATAATAATAATAGCAACATTGACATCGTTATGGTATATAACTAAATTATGTATGTAAATGTTTTACATGTGTTAAAGTGTGAATGGAGCAAACTCTTTCCTCCCTAAGGGGACTCCTGAATCTAGGCCAGAACCTCTATCTCCTTTGTCTATTCTTCTTTCCCCTAAGATTTGCTGAACTATGACCTGGCAGGCCCCTAAGGCCTCTTATATCTGATTCCCCTGGGACCAATCACAGAGGGTGTGTGTGTGTGTGTGGGGGGGGGGGGGGACAAAGTCTGCATAAGCCAGAAAGCATGCCTAAAAAGGGGCATCTGAGGGGAGCAAAACCTTTGCCCATGAGTGCATGCCCAGCCCCCACCCATTTGAGCCTCCTCCCTGCTCAGAGCAGTGTAAATGGCAGAGATTCAGTAGGTGAGGCCCAGAAATCACTTCCTTCTATTTGTTTAGTAACTTTTTCATGGGGAAAAATGTCATGTCAGAGGGCATCCTAAGCCCTGAATGTATTCCCTCCCTGTAACACGATAAATGGCTTGAGGGGAGGAAGCTGTCAAAGCCCCAAGTGGATGAGTGGAAGCAGCTGGGGCTCGGGTTAGCCACAGCCCTGCTGGCTTTAAGAACTGGGCTTTATGGGAAATGTGATGTCACTGGATTACGTTGGGAGGTGTGTTTCTTTTGCTCTATTCATTTTTCTTATTCTTTTTCTTTTTTAAAATAAGAACAATACCTTTTAAAAACTACATCCAACATTTTTTGTTACTTTCTGATTTGTCACTACCATCTCTTATTTCTGTTTTTTATTTTTTCCTCATTCCTCTGGTCTATTGTTTTCACTGTTCAGATCAAGTGCATGAGGCAGAATAGCTGCCAATTGAGAAAAAGTAAAGGGTGAAAAGAGAAGAGATTGAATTTTGAAGTGACAGAGACCTGGTTTCAAACTCTGGCTATGCCATGTACTGTGTGAGCTTGGAAGAATTCATCTAAGTTTCTTTCCTCATTTGTAAGTGGGAATTAGCTGACCTATATTACACTGTTGCAGTGTTGTTTAAATGACACAAAAAAGGAAAAAATAAATAAAACAGTACCAAGAGAGAGAGAAACAGCACAGTGCCCAGTGCAAAGTAAGTGCTTATAAATGGTATAAATCATTATATTCATTATTTATTACTAGGGGCCTCATGCACAAATTCGTGCACCTTGAAAGGAACTGTGCTCCGTGAGGCTGCGGTGGGCACAGGGGCGGGTCTTGGCCCACCTTCATGCCCCCACCTGGCCCTTCCTGCTGCAGCCCCTGGTTCCCTGTCTGCCAGTAGCCCCGCTGACGGCACCCACCCTGCTCACACCTGCTGACAGCATAGAGCGACTGGGGCCAGTGCCAGCAGCAGGTGCAAGCAGTGGCTGCTGCCCTGATCACCCCTCAGGAGCAGGGGGCAGTGGAGAAGCCCTGAGCGGTAATCAGGGCCAGCAACTGCCGCTTACACCCACTGACAGGGCTGAGCGATCGGGGTCAGCGCTGGGTGCCAACAGCAGGTGCGGGCAGCGGCTCCAGCGCCGGCTGCAGGTACGAGCAGGGCCAGCACTGGCAGTGGGTGCGAGCAGTGGCTCTGGCGCCAGCAGGTGTACAATGTGATGATTTGACACACACACACACACACACACACACACACACACACACACACACTAGGGGCCCAGTGCATGAATTCATGCACCTTGAAAGGAACTATGGGCTACAAGGCTGTGGTGGGCACAGGGGCGGGTCTCGGCCCATCCTCCAAGCCCCTGCCCAGCCCCTGCTGCTATGGCCCCTGGTCCCCTATATGCTGGCAGCCTCTGCTCCCATGCGCTGACAGCACAGGCCGCTCGCACCGCTGAAGGCACAGAGTGATTGGGGCCAGCACCAGGAGCAGGTGTGAGCGGGCCGGCGCTATCAGTGGGTGCAAGTGGCCGCTGCTGCCCTGATTGCCCTTTAGGAGCAGGGGGAGGTGGAGAAGCCTTCAGGGATGATCAGGGCTGGCAGCCGCTGCTCGCACCCGCTGATGGCGCCCAGTGAGCAGGGCAGGCGCTGGGCATCAGCAGCTGGTGCAAGCGGGGCCAGCGCTGGCAGCAGGTGTGAGTGCCGGGCGGACCACAGCATGCAAAGAATTTTCAGTAACAATCAGAGGCTCGCCCTGATGACAGCGACTGGCGCCCTGCCTTGGTCTGGTGACCCCACTCACCTGCTCCACCATCCCGTCATGGCCAATGCCTGCCATGTTCCACACATGCCCCTTGGTGGTCAGTGCACGTCATAGTGACTGGTTGTTCGGTTGTACCGCTGTTTGGTCTATTTGCATATTAGCCTTTTATTATATAGAACTAGAGGCCCACTGCACAAAATCACGTGAGACCCAGACCCGCCCACCTTGAAGACAGTTGTGGATGGAGATAAGAATAGTTTTCTGCCCTAACCTTTCCTTCTCAGGAGCACTTAAATTGATCTTTGTTGGAAGATGAGAATTGAACAGAGCAACACTTACTTGTTCCCATGAAGAAATTATATGACATTCAGCCAGTGCCTTTTGGTGTTTGGTCATTACGGCATGATGGCGTCACAGCCACAGGTTTTTATAATAGAGATTATGTTAGCATGTCAGGGGGAAAGAGAGTTACCCCTGACCACATACTATCTCCTCATTTTCTTTTACAAGACCACCATACCAGGTCCTTTTGTTTCTAAAGTCCCTTGTGCCCAGGTTACAAACCAAACAAATGAGGGACCCCTTCGGTAACTGAGAACTACAGTTACAAGTTTTGAGGAAAATAGATTCCAAGAGCTAGCTAAGAAAAACCACCTGCTCTTCAAACAACCCGCCCTCCCCCCGTCTTCCCCCAC